AGTCAACCAAACCACCTCCCATCGTGTTGTATGGGATAGAGGACTTGAATGAACTAGCAAAACTAATACAATCGGTTGTTCAACCTAGTGATTTCAAATTCAAAATTATTAATAAAAACCTAATGCGCTTATCCATAAATACTGTAGAAAACTACAAATTAGTGATAGACTTGATTCGGCGGAAGGGATTGATCGGACATACCTTTTCACAGAAGGATAAAAGATGTCACCGAATAGTGATAAAAAACCTCCATCACACGACACCACATGATGCCATTATCCAAGAAATTGAAAAATGCGGCAATAAAGTTAGAGGTGAAATAATCAACTGTCGATATGGACCGGATAAAAAGCCGACCTCAACATTTTTTGTTAATTTAGAACCCAGCAATAACAATAAACTGGTCAAAGATATTAAATATATTTACCACCAACATGTAAAAATTGAGGACCCACGCAAGAGTAAAACAATAGTCCAATGTCAACGTTGCCAGCAGTATGGTCATAGCAAGAATAACTGCATGAGACCTTATAGATGTGTAAAATGCGGAGAGAATCACAAAACTTCTGACTGTCCCAAGAAAGACAGAAACACTCCAGCTAAATGCGCCCTCTGCTCCTGTGATCATCCCGCAAACTACAAAGGTTGTCAGGTATATAAGGAAATTCTCAGCCGTAAAACCAAACCTAAAAAGACCCCGATAAGTGCTTATGTAGTCAGAAATATATCTAATACTGAGCAAACGAAATACAACAGCAACAATTCAAATCCTTCTACAACTTTGTTAAGATCTACAAACCAACACACCTACGCTGAAGTTACTTCAGGTCGGCCCAGAAAACTGTCTAGCAATAATCAGGAACATAAAGATGACTCTATTGATCAATTAAGGATTTTTGAACATCTCTTAACAAAACAGAATGAGAAAATTGAGCTCCTCCTTCAACAAATCAGTACCCTAGTTGGCCTACTGACTACAGTGATTTCCAAGCTATCACCGTAAAAGAGCTCACGTTGAGGATTGCAACGTGGAATATTAATGGACTGTCACCTAACATTCAAGAACTTGAGATTCTGATCCATACAAACAATCTCGATGTGGTTTTAATATCTGAAGCACATGCCACAGTGAGAAGTTCATTCCGCCTCAAAGGATTCATCATTTACTTCACTCCACATCCTGATGGTGGAGCTCATGCTGGATCCGCTATAATTTTAAAATCGCATCTGAAGCACACACCATTGGAATCTTTCTCGACGATGCATCTTCAAGCCACTACAGTCCAACTTGAAACACGACGCGGCAGCATCACGCTTTCCTCAATTTACTGTCCCCCAAAGCCTAAAATTACTGCTGACATGTTTGCAGCCTATTTCCAAACTTTAGGCCCCAGATTCATAGTCGGCGGAGACTGGAACGCAAAGCACCATTTCTGGGGCTCCCGTGTTGTGACTACAAGAGGGCGCGAACTCAAACGCTGCGCAGACAATAAGCACCTAAAAATACTTTCCACAGGTGAACCAACATATTGGCCTAGCGATCCTAGAAAATTGCCTGACCTCTTGGACTTCTTTGTGACCCACGGTGTAGCTAGCTCGCACACAAATACAGAGACTTGTTTAGACGGGTCTTCAAAACTAAATATAAATGCGAGGAAACCAGTTAAAAGTTGTTTCATTTATGGATAGTGTGCGTGAATATATAATAAATTAATATGATAAATTAATAAAAATGTTATGTTACAGTTTTACTTAAGTACCACACTCTCCCGAAATGGCTTGATTGATTTTGCTGAATCAGCCAAGCCGTTTCGAGCAGCAAATATATTCAGTATATCTGAGAAAAGGTTTTTATTTATTTTTATACCCCTAATTGGTAAGGTTGATTCACCCTTAATTTGTATGGCAAAACGTTTGCTGGATCAGCTAGTAATTTATTTATATTCCATGACATAGTGGGATGAATCTCAGAAACAATACTAATAAAACACTGAATCTTCATCTTATAAATTTATTTTTCATTTATTTATATTATCCTAAATTAAATACATTGTAGTATAATTTTAAATTAATTATAACAATTATTAGGTATTTATTTATTATGAATTGACATTCATATAAGTATGTAATACATATAAATTAATAGTTGTGCTTAAAATTACTGTGAATGAAATGCACTATAATGGACTGCTCAGTGCGAAAATGCACTGAATTCTATTTACCTGTATGATACATGATATGTGATGTTATAATAATGTCATATAATTTTGTAATTAAAGTACATATACGTAAGTACTATTATATTAAGGCAAGATGGCCACCGCTTTATGGCTTATACAATTTACTGTTTCTTTTAGTATGTACCTAAATTTTAATCTACTTACATTTATGTTATTATTATTGTGTATATTTTAATATATGGATCGGACCTTTATTAAACTCAATGACCGAAAGGCGTATAAGAGAGTCAGTCCGATCGTTAAATATTTAACAATTTTTATTACTCTTCCACATAATAAATAGTTATCAACATGTAGATTTACAAATATCAACAAAATAAATTACGAATAACAGCATATTACAATAAGATTAGCCTTATATAACTAAACTTCAGTGATATCTTATTATCTAGTGCCCCTAACTTGTACTGTGTCGCCGATCCAACCCATTATAAGACGTCATAACGTTACCACAAATACTATTATGAGTAGTCCAATAACTGCTTCAGCATCAATTCAATTTTCAGATTCTTAATATCACTCTATAGCCAAATAGATTTACAATCTTTCAGGCCAGATATTTAAGAAATAAAGGAACAATGTGAAAACTATAATGAAAATATTTTACAAACTTAATAGTATTGCGGATAAATTTAGAAATTGATATAGAAAAATATACATCAAACTTTTTCTTAACCAATAGATCCAAAAATAATAATCTATTTGACAACTTCGTCTTTAGTGCTATTAAACACATCGAACACAGAGCTGTTACAGTATAGAAGTACGAGCAAATAAAACCTACTTGAAAATGAAATAAAGGTTTTATTTCATTGAAGCTGCATGATGTGACAGCGCTGCTTTCGAACAGAAAAAAAAACTTTTGTTGTCATGACGTTTAAAGAGAATTACTGAAACAGAGGGTTTTATATTTTCTAGAGATGACGACCGGCGAACTTTTAAAAATCATTACATTAACATTACATGGACTAGTAATTGAATTATTCTAACTAATAAGTACCCTATACCGCTTTGGAGAACAAATTGTATACAAGGGCCTATAATACAAACAATATACTTTTCGCGGAGAGAGATATAGTTAAGTACATTACTTAAGATTAAATTTATAATTATAATTAGCCCTTTATTGCTCTCCATCAACCTTAAGCTAAACCAAGTCCATCGTGGACCTATTGAGCAACATGGACATGTTAAAGACCTAGAAACTAGACTTACGAGCGACATGTCTCCAGAGAGCAGACATTATAATGACAGCTCACATATCTTCAATTTCCAATGATTGCCAAAGATCAAAAGTATCCTAATGGATTGCTAAACTTCGGATTGTAAGATCTTCTATCGAAATTAACCTTATAACATAATTTTAAGACTGTAATAGTTTAAACGAATACATAAAATAAAACCATAAAAACTTAAATGTATTCACCTTTTTCTAAATATGTTTATTTTTCAATTTTTTTAATATTATCAAATAATATACAAAATAACAACTCCTTGAGACGATGATGATGATTGAAATTTGAAGAGCTTTCATCGAAAGATATGGTATTAACAATCCAAAAGGAGATATTTGAACTAACAATGTATTATATTGGTCTAAAACAATCGCCTCTTTCACCAGGCAAAAATACTACGTCTGCCATCTCATCCAAATACAGACACATTTTGATATAAGCAATCCGACATAAGTACAAAGGATAATAATTTAGAAGCTACGTAAAATGGAAATTACAGGAAGATAAGACGTCCATTAATAAATAAGCTTGTGATAAAATTTTCATGGAATAACATATAAGACGCTGTTAACTTTTTTTTTGTGTACATCGCTTTTATAATTGCTGTTATATTAAAGTAAGTGAAATTTGCATTCACATATCAAGAATAACGTATATTTTAATTTTTCTAAATATTAATTACTTTATAGATTGACTGGCTTTTCTTTTTTATGGAATGAGAATACGAATGAACTATTTCAGATAGGCCTATTATTTTTGGTTTAGTCTAGAAAGATTTGTTGGTCTTACTGTTATAGTATGTAACTGATTTATATATGATTTTATATAGTCAAAGTCAATAACCTTATTGTCATTTAACAGCTGTTTGCTCCTATACGCTAGTACACTAGTTAATTACAATATTGGATAATGAATGAAAATTTTATCTTTATTAAAAAATATATCTAATGTAACCTACTTAGTATAAAAAATAGGAAAATATGTATGATGTCAGGAAGTTGAATAAGTGATTCTAGAATAAACGTGTAGGTTATTTATAACGTAGTTTTTAAGCTTTTAAAAATATCCTCTATTAACTAGACGTACTCTTTTATGTAGTTAATTTATAATACCATCTAACCGTGGTTATTACAAATGCGCACTTACGCCTTTTAAACTCTAAGTAAAAGCTCACAGCTTTGGTCATTGATTAATATTTTTGGTTGATAGATTCAACTAGTTCTAGACATCAACTATGCTTTAGTATAAATATTTGGCTTACTGCGGTAACGAGAGTAACCTTTTGTCTCTGACTTAAAAAGTGTATTATATGAAAGTTCTTTTTTCAAAGTAAATATATATTTTTAACAACCACTTGTCATCTATCACTCTCTCATAATACCCTTTAGTAAACAGGGTTTTACATTACAATATTCCGTTTTAGATATTACCTTCAAGCATACATTAGTAAAACTTTCGAGAACAGACTTTGTTTATGTTGAAATAAGGTTTAGAATTATTTTGGTATATTAGCTGACGTGAGATCTACTGCATTCTCGCTTCTTGCAGCTGAGGGGGATATGGGAGTGGGGGTAAAAGAGGGGCCTGCACTCCACCTCCTGGCAACGCGTAGTATGGAGATACGTAGCCTGCCCCGGTAGCCGCCGCTGCCGCTGCTGAAACATACATATCTTTTTTAAACGTAAGGATGTAATGTACTAATAGCTTACAACTAATTTGGAATGTTGTCGAAGTATTTCTACCGCCGCTCACTCTTAAAAACAATATTTATTCGCACATAATAAAGCTCTAAGAATAATAAGCTTTCAACATTATTTTGAAATAAAATAAAATATTTTAGTGGAGTCGGGAATTCTAGTAAAAAATAAGTTAGATCTCCAACTTCTTTCTTTCTTTTATTCGTATTTTTTATTAATTAGATATTTAAGTTTTTATACAACGTTGTTAACCCGGCGAGCGTAAGGTTGGGTGTGGTACACCCAGACCTAGAAAAATCGATAAATATTTTAATAACGGATTGTTATTGCGTTTCCCGCGTCTGAGTAGCTGCGCCGGAGGTGTTGCGGAAGCGTCGGCTGCCACTGCTTTAGTCAACCCCCGCCCGACAAATGGTGTGTACGAGGTTGAAACTGTCAGCGGGTGCGTGAAACCCACCTTACGCTACTTGTAATGAATTTGAACAAACACATTTCATTTTCTTTTTATTATTTTGGGTATTGTTTTGATTTATTTGCAGGATAAAAATCTAGAATGTCGTACGAAGATAACCAACGCAGATTATTAAGTCTTTTCGAAGAATCTGAAGTCAGTTCTTCTGACAAATCTGGTAGTGACCCGGAGACGGACTTCGTAAAAGAATTCAAGATCATGTGGGTGAATACTCAAAAGAATCACCACAAAAGTATCCAAATCTATAAAGAGAAATGATATATGTCCTACAAAAAAAGACCGCAAGACTAAATACGTTTGTTACCAATGTGAAAATGGCATGTTCCAATGTATGGAACATGCCATTTTCGCTATGAAAACTGCACAAGATCTGAAGATGAATAAGTATTTTTTTTATTAGTATATGGTTCCAATATAAGTGTTATTTTGTTGTTATGTTTAGTATATTAGAAGAAAAAATACTTTGTGCTGTTTTTATTTTAATTTTTTTGACCAACAGTGATAAGCATGTGCCTTAACTAATAAATATAAGTTCAAATTGTTAATTTCATAAATAAATAATAATAATAAATTGTTTTTTTTTTTATTTCATTCTTAAATAAGTTAAAATAGAAGTAAATATCAGTTTATCGTTCAGGAAAATAATTATTAAAAATAATAATATATTAAAACCACACAATTACTATCTGGGTGTGCCACACCCACCTGGCGCTTTGTGTTACAGATTCTAACCTTGCGCTCGTCGGGTTAAATCGACAAAGATTAATATGCAGTAATATAATCCAAATGGTTGTGCAAACCTGAAGCGGATTTAATTGCAACTTAGACAAAAATTTGCAGCAAAAAAATCACTAATTACCTATAATCAATTTGCATAGAATCTTACGATATACCGACTTCATAAATCAGATATCTATGAGATTAAAACCAACCTGCGGCGGTAGCATATGGATCGAATCCTGCCGCTGCGTATTGCTGCTGATATGCCGCAGCGCCTTGCGCAGCCGCAGCCTGGTATTCATATAAGTGATTTGCGGCCGCTACCGCTGCAGCATGTTGCAACTGAGGTAGTTGTACCAAGCCCCCTGCACCAGCGCCGACCCCAGCTCCCACCCCGCCCATTGTCCCTACGTAACCAGGAGCGCCATACACGTACCCAGGAGACAACCTGTCGATCAATTTCTAAATCAGAACCCAATTTCGGATACGCTACAGGGATTCAGACGTTTAAGAAATGGAACTCTTTTTAGATTCAGTTGGTTTCAGTTCTACGACTCGTTACAACAAAAGGAAAAATATATGTATGCTCTAAATTTCTGGCCATTCCCAAACGTCTGATATCAAATATCCTGAGATGCCCTCTCACAGCAGTAATATGAGTAGATACAGAGAAAATTAGCCGAAGTTATTCGCTCAGTGAAAGGTCATCCATGTTGCATATTAATACTGTTTAAAACTTCATCACACTATTACCTAGCCCCATTTGCAGAGACAGCCACGAGCATCTAGTCTTGTTATGTTAGTAGACATCGATAAACAGTTACAGTAAAATCAAAATGTAAGTAGGTAGACGATTTATTTTGGCTGGAGTATGTCGTCGCGGAACCACAGCCGTGCGTCACTGCCAACGTAGTTTAAAAAAACTATTATAAAAATATTGGGAACGGGAGCGTCCACTCCGCGTCGACCGAAATATCCGGCGTTTCCTATTTATCGTCAGATCGTCGGGAGACGTCGTGGAAATTAAGATTTAGATGCTGGCACGTGTCAATTACGAAATCCCTAAAGCTTTTTTGATACGGTAGAAGTTATACAAATCAAATGGACATATTTCAGAGCTACAAACATTGAAATGTACCGACATTTCGCAGAAGTTTAGAGAGCAGATCACAGCAAATCACTACATCTTGTCAGCGCAAGGCTGCGAAGTGTCGACTCCGCTTAATTTGTAGTATTACACGAAGGCGGTCAAGTGTTCGTCAAGAGGGGGTGCGGCGCATCTTGCAAACTCAGCGCTTTTCTAGGGTACTCGTTTTTCAAACACTTTATTACCAACAGAACTTGTGGGATGCACTACTTCTGTCTCCTTTCAACTGTAAGCGATTGAGGGAGATGTGCAGCTATAAGATCAAGTTCAGTAAAGTTATGGTTGTAAAGCGGTATTCGTGATAAGGCGCATGCGTGTATACGCCCGCCCTAACGCCCCGCCCGCCTAAACGCCCACCTGTGGTTTACTGATGCTATTTGCGAATACCTACTTTGTTTAACCTTAGAAACTTGCTCTATTATGCATTTTGGTGTCGAAGCGTGACATTTCGACCTTCCCTTACATTCCAGACGTGATAATGTGTAAGTGTTGTGTCAACTGGCACAATGATGAATAATGTAGATGTTTGAGGTATGTGAACTTATTTTATTCGTCAGTTTAAATTTTAGTGTCAAATAATAAATAACACAATAGTAAATTCAATAATAGGTAAATTCAAACAGCATTATAAAACTGGCACACAAGCTGAGCTGAAACATCTACAAAGGTACAAAATCACAATCAATTACTAAAATAAAGAAATATTTATTTAAGGACAGGTTTAATAAGTTTAAGACAGAAATCAAGGAAATAAAAACTCACATAAACGGTAAAAAGTAAGTATTAAGTTAAATTAAATAAGGACGTAACATAGGTAAAGGAAGTCTAGAGATATAATGAAATACCTAGTTATACAAATGATATAGAAGCTCTATGCGCATACGGCAATATATGAACAATTACGTTCTAGTGTATAAATATTGACGTACCAGGTCACTCTCTAATTAAAATCGTACCTACAGTTTATTTTGAATTGAAACAAAAGGGCAATGATTCGAATGAAGCTTGATTATTTTTCAATTAGACCATGAGTTCCGATGAATATTATATGAACGGCTGTGGTGGGCAAACGCGTGTGCCAGTGGCCCTGGCCGAGCATCGATCGGCTGAGGTATCAGTAATTAAAGGCTGAGCACAGCCGGTGTATCGTCGGCGCGGTGGAGACGGTCCACTCGCGTCGAGGGAGCGCGCACACCTACGCACACACAGCGCTGCCTCGACGCGCTCGACCCTTGTAAGTGTATTAAACGAAATCCACCACCAACAAAACTCAATTCAAATCAACAAAATCTTACAACGAACACGGCATAAAAACATAAAATAAAAACATTGAGTGTCGGACGATGCGTATAGTGACGCTGGGCGGCGCGGGCGAAGCGGTCGCCTGCGCCGCCCATGCTTTAGCTTCAAAAACGTAAACATTAAAAAACCCAATCGACTAATTCACACCCAAAACGAAAAAATCCACTCGCACGCTCACTCTTGCCATAGATACCTATGTGAAAATGTTTGATAATTTAGTCTAGGTGTAGTCCGCCGGCCGCCACGTCGCTAGCCGTCCGGGGACGCCGCTCGCATCATCTACCGAGACAAAATTCAGCTCAAAAATCTGTAGCCGTTCCATCAACGTCACCTGATAAAAACATTGGTCACGCCTACCTTAGAATGTTTAACGTTACATAATGTGTATTCTGAACTAGAGACAGGGATTTATATTGCGTAAATACTACGGGAATGTTACCTAAATCATCATGATATACTGTTAATATTTTATCTATTAATAGAAATATCATAAATGTTCAGAATTCGTCACGAATATAGTTTAAAAATAATCACCTAATCTAATTTACTAAATTGTTTAATTATATGTATGTCAACATTATGATGATATCCCTAAGGTCTGATTTTTGTCTCGTGAGATGTAACAGAGCGGCATGCGGCACCGCGAGTGCTGGCAAATATCGAAGTGTTGAACCATTGAACATTGATATAGAGCTCAGTGTGCGGGGGACGCGCACTCACCCATACGGAGAAGGTAGCACAGTAGGGTAACCAGCGCGCACTCCTGCCGCTGCCGCCGCAGCCAAACCAAACCCTGCAACAATAACACACTAATAAACTTCTGTGACACTGATAGAAAATTCAAATGAAATACAGCTAATACATGTATCTTTTTTCATCGTCTACGTTCCCGAACTCTATTTTGGTATACACTTAACGGAAGTGGCTAGACATGATTCAAAAATGTACAGAAGAGATTGGAATACATCCAAACGACACACGAGTCAACTTAGCGCAGGCGAGGCGACGTCAAAGTGTTAATTTCTTTTTATTGCATTGTTAAGTCGCTCGAGGTGTTTATTTCTGTCGCTCCGTCCGCCCGCCCGGGCATCGGCATTCAGGGTTGCGCTATTGACAAGAAGACGACAAACTCGCGCTATAAATGGCATGACAGTTCAGTAATTGGCACCGACAACGCATGTAACCAAAATGCCACGTGCCAAAGAAGACCTTTTATTGATTGACAGGGCACCATTTCCTGTATAACTACAAATTAGTACATTGCCATAAAAGCGATAGGTGATTAAGTGATGAAACGTCGAATTGCGAATAACATAGTTACATTAGGAAATGCGCAATCATAATAATACATTCTGATCATAAATCCTTGATTATCATGTAGTGTCCAGAAGAGCGTGACCTATGATGGACTCGAAACTGCTATTGTATATGGTGAAATTTTATCGGTGATTACAGCGGATCACATCCGGAGAGTCCGGATGATGATGCGGTTCGTCTACTACAGTAATGTCGCACTGACCTTCTACGGGGATGATTACGTTACTAACAAAGACCGAACCGAAAGCAAATGACATTAAAACACACGTTAGATACGTTATTATAATTCAAAAAGAGCACATTTACTTATTGATAAAACAAGACTACTTATTTAAAATATATTTAATTTATATTAGTGTTCCTATAATTTAAAACCAATATTTTCAAAACTTTTAAGATTCACTAAACTACAATTCGCCGCGTCCCCAATGGGAAAATTTAATAATGATTTCTGGTGATATCAGAAAATAAAACTTATTGCCAGTAACCGACACCATTTTTTATTTTTCAATAGCATAACAAATCTTATTCTCAATCCGGAATTATCTATTTCAACGCTCTTGGAGGCATTACTAGATAGCTAACGACCACTGATTATTCAACATGTTATTATAAGTCGTGTGTTTCTCTGCGAAATTATTAAAATCGTTTGTCATTTCCGACGACTATGATATTCCCTTTTCATAGGCTACAAACAGACAATTACTGATTCTGAAATCATAGGCTCGCGTGCAGTATATATTGAGCATGTACTGGCGCATTCGATCGATTCCATGTCATTTGACGGCCGAGGTCGGACTGTCCACCACAAGCTTATCTTGGTTCATTAATTTTTTTACCTTCCATTACCATTGTCACACTACCTAAATGATAGTCCTTTGTTATACATACGACCCAGATAGATTTTAGTTCGTAATCGATTGTTGAACGACACAATAGGTCAAACATTCGTATAATCAACAACTGTGTGTACATTATAGAACAAATGTGGAACATTTTCCTGTTAGAATATTGAAAAAAATATGCTATGTCATTTTATTCAGGAAAAGTTTCTCCTTTTCTTCTTCGGAATACAAAAAAAACGGTCTAACAAAATGGTTAATGACGAATACATCGATCATTAATAAATAATTATACCCTTGTAGTTTTTAATCGGTGCAAATGATAATCCATATGGAATCGCACGTGAGAAGTGCAGTCGTAAAATATTTTTACCAATTAATTAACGTGATCGACATCTCATTGAAACGTACTCTGTAAAACTTACAATACCCACTGATTACGGTTCAAATGATACGGCATAAGACCCTATGATAAATGTACGAATGGATAGACCGATGACGAGGCCATATTAAAAAAAAATTATACTGCACTAGAATATTGTGACTCGTATTTTTAACAGAATCATTGTGTAATTATTACAAAAATGAAATGCAGCTTTGTTTTGAATACTTCTATTGGCATTTGATACGAGTTCTGGATTTCGGGTCGTCGAACTGCAAAGCCGACAGAGAGTGCTTAACGTCGCTTGTAAGGATTCTACGGAAATACGATTTTAGACGCAGGCGCGGTTTGAGCGAGACGGACTACCCGACATTATACTTAATTCTCCCAACGTAGTATAATTCCAATACTAACAATTACAATCAAATATGTATTTCGGACATACAATATATACATAGCGCACACATAAAATTTTCAAATTCCAACCATTCGAAACGGATTCCTATTAATTTACTACTACCGAATTGACGTAGGTTCAAACGCGAAAGGAAATTGCCGCTTAATTCATTTATAGTGTTTTGACTACTTTGTAACCGTAATGTCGTGTAAGTTTACTGGAGCAAGAATAGTTCAGTCGTGGCCTAGTTCCATATGGCAAATCGCCTGTCTCAGGGACGCGTTTAACCAATATCCGGTGGACTTTCCTTTGAATTGACCAGTAGCATAAGATTCGAGATACCAAAACAATACAAGAACTAGTAGATTCGTAAAAACATATGCATGACATGACCTTTTAACATAGATTTGAGACAATAAAAAAGAGTTGTTAAAAATTCTAAATTGAAAAAAAGAAATAATATTATCTTGAATTTTGATTCTATTCTGTGTTTATGACATTCCAAAATACATCTTTATTGCTTTTAGTGCGAATAAAACTTCAATGCGAATATTGTAATAGGTACTTGTTAGTGTGCGTTATGCGCTCCGACAAAAGATAAGCTGGCGAGAAAAGATGAGATTTTGGAACCGAGCCAGATTCTGATGTCGCGGCAGAGGCGGCCGCGACGACGTTCCCAAAACTGCGTATATTTAGACAAAATAAAGAGCGCGCCGAAGACAAAACGAGACGCAACTCTGTTTTATAAATAACCACGCCGTTCGCCGGACGGACTCTGTGCGGCCAGCCTCTGAATGCCAGCTGTTATACATAAATAATAATTAAGATATGAAGAAAGTTTCGTGCATATCAAGGAAATAGTTGAAAGAAAGATTATATTCTTTTATTATTTTCAATCTGAATTCCAATGAAAATACTGTCATATCATCTATGTAGACAACAACCGCAGTTGCGAATATGTTACTTATCTAATAGTTAGAAATAATTGTATTTGTGGGGTATAGGGCCGTTTAGCAGCAGTACGTCGTTGGAGGATTACGGAGGAGCACCAGGGCTTCACGGAAGTCGCGCCGGGTATCGTGTTACCGAGCGACGTGACAAAGGGAGCGGAACTACTACACTCAAGTGTTCCTGTGGCGACGACGCTTTGGATATTGTTCTAGGATCATTTACACGACAATTTTCTATTCTTAAATTAAAAAAAAATAATTCAAAAATATGAAATCTCTTGTTGCTATTATAAGAAAAAAATCTTAATGATTTGTTTGCGTTTTAAATAATGAAATATGAAAGTGCTTAAATTATTTAGTGTTAAGTTAACCAATGGCTTGGTATATGTAAAAATACCATTATTGGATTTGTGTTTTGTATTTCGATGGGTATAAATCAATAAATTTATAAAATTTCATTATGAAAATGAGAAAGCATAATTTAATATAAACCTATTCACTTAAAGTTAATGATTATAATTATTTTAAGTATCTATATTATTTTAAGTATCTTTAATAATCAGTCCGATAACTTATTTTCTTATATTCGACTGATCACGAAATTAGACAAAAATTTCTTAAGGAAAGCAATGTGAGTTAAAATTCTCAGATACCAACATTGATTAATTTGTACTAATAAAGAACCACGAAGTAATTTTATTGAATGAAAGTTGCTACAAGTATTCTTTTGAATCAAACTTTTAAGGTATATTCATTTATCTATTTAGTAATAAAAAGTTTATATATTAAAACACCATTTTTATGTCTACGAATAATTATAACACCTGAAGACCGATTCTATTTTCCTTTGATCGAAAATTTAGAAAACTTTGAATCATCTTAAAATTTTGTTAAAATCATATGTGTGAAAATTATCGTAACATTAGAAGCAATGTTAGGTCCTGCCTCCTTCATATCATAAATTATCGAAAATTGTGTTTCTTTGGAGTTGTATTGGCATTTCGAAAATGACGTAAGGTTTTAACAAAATTAGAATATGCCTTCAGGTGTCTTGTAAGAGTACTCAGTACTCTAACCAACTCTATAAAGTCATTATCTTACTAATTTTGACTTCACATTGATGCCTGTTAGGTTAAATACCATGATTTAGCTGGTCACTAATAGAATAAAGATGTATCACAAGTTTGATAACATCACGAGGTCATTTGCTGCAAACCCGCCATTATGGCTTCGCCTCATACAATTATACACAATGCGCTATGTTATCGATCAGCCATACTTTTGAATGGCAATCAGAATAACACAAAATCAAATGTGTGCCCACTTTGGTTTAATGAATTTTACGTTTTAATTGACAGTATTTTTAGTGGTTAATGCAACGTAGAGCCTGAACAAAGCTCAATGCGAACTGAGGGAAAAGAACAAAATGAATTTTCTTTACACCTCGCAAATACATGTCAAATGACATTAGAATTAAAAAAATATATATCCAATTATTAGGGACAAAGAAAATATAAGTATAAATATAGCCTTAAACATTTAGAAGGAATATTTTGTTTCAAAACGGTTCTAGCTCAGCATATGCTGGTTTTGTGATCGACGCTGATCTTCCGATTTGGTGAAAACACAAACAGTACACCATTATTATAAAGAGCTAAAGTTTCCAACTTTGTCTATTTGTTTGTAGTGGGAATCTTCGGAAATACTAATCCGATCATGAATACTGGCTACAAGGCTATCATTAAGTCGCAGGAGAACAACTAGTGTTTTCATTAAAAGCTACTTTTTAAGCCAATCTCGACCCTTTGGATTAATATACTTTTACGGAACTGAAAGTAAATTCAAGTACACGGTATAAAAGTTTCATAATATTTAATAATAGCAAAAAGAATATCGATGTGGGAA